ATGCTTGACTTTGACTTTCACGAATTTCCTCATTAATTCCCTCACCTTTTTTAGGTATAGGATCATTCTTTCTCCCTTAGCCTCATAGGTTTCTTCTATTTGCCTTACCACGAGCTGAGAGTCGCTATAGATTTCGAGTTGTTCTGCCTCCATTGAGTGAGCCAGATTGAGTCCAGCGATGACAGCTTCATATTTTACTTAGTTATTTGAAGCCTTGAATTCAAATCTGAGGATATACTCGATATATATTCAATCTAGGAAGCTCAGAATCAACCCTGCACTGCTTCCTTGGGCATTGGCAGCTCCATTTACTGAAAGCTTCCATGTAGGGAGGTCAAGTACTAGCTAGGTTGCTTCCAAAGGTGCTTCTGTGGCAGTAGTGAATTCTACGATAAAATCTATCAAAATCTGCCCTTTGATAGTGACTCTGGATATGTACTTAATATCGAACTCACTAAGCTCTATAGCCAATTTGACCAACCTACCCGAAGATTCTAATTTATGCAATACCTGCTTCGCTGCTCTGTTGGGACCTTAATGGTGTGAGCCTAGAAGTATGGTTTGAGCCTTCTCGCAGCCGTAACCAAAGCTAAGACAAGTTTCTCCATCTTTGGATATCCCTCCTCTGCCCCCCTTAGAGCTTTGCTACAGTAGAAAACTGATTGCTGAGCTCTGTCTCGCTCTCTTACCAACACTGTGCTGGTTGACAAATCCAAAATAGCAAGGTAAAGGGGGAGCACTTCCCTCTCCATGGGACTTACTAGAACTGGGGGTGTACTCAGATAATTTTTAAAGGCTCTAAATGCTTTTTCACATCGGGTATCCCTTTAGAACACCTTTTTTAATATTTGGAAGAAAGGTTAACACTTGTCGCTTGACTTGGACACTAAGCGACTCAAAGCTACTATTCTTCTTGTTAGGCATTGGACCTCTCTGGTGTGTTGGAGGGAGGCTCCATGTCTATTATCACCTTGACCTTCTCCGAATTTGCCTCGATTCCTCTGTTGTTGACTATAGCCAAGGAATTTTCCCACTGAGACCCCAAAGGCACACTTGGCTAGATTAAGCTTCATCTGGTATTTCTTGAGGATTTGAAAGGATTCCTCTAGATGCTCGATATGGAGCTCAGCTCTTAATGATTTCACAAGCTTGTAATTAATGCATACCTCCATCAATGACCATATTTATTTTTGGAACATTTGTTTCACTAGACGTTGATATGTAACTCCACCATTTTTCAATTCAAATGACATGACTTGGTAGCAGTATGTTCCTTACTCAATTATAAATGACATCTTCTCCTAATCGCTGGGGTCCATTCTAATTTGATTATATCCTGAGAAGATGTCCATGAAGCTGAAGAGCTCATTTCCAGCCATAGCGTCTACGATCAAGTCTATTCGAGGTAGTGGGAAACTATCCTTGGGGCAAGCTTGATTTAGATCAATAAAGTTGACGCAGAGGCGCCATTTAGCGTTGGTTTTTTTACCGAGGACCACGTTAGCTAACCAAGTCGGGTATTCTACTTCCCTAATAGCTTTGACGTGGAGAAGTTTGCTGACTTCCTCATTAATTACCTTTTAGCATTCNTTTTTTTACCGAGGACCACGTTAGCTAACCAAGTCGGGTATTCTACTTCCCTAATAGCTTTGACGTGGAGAAGTTTGCTGACTTCCTCATTAATTACCTTTTAGCATTCTGGGGCAAAACTCCTTCATTTTTGTTTAATGGGCTTGTAGGCTGGGTTCACGCTGAGCTTGTGCGTGACAACTAAGGGATCAATTCCCTNTCTGGGGCAAAACTCCTTCATTTTTGTTTAATGGGCTTGTAGGCTGGGTTCACGCTAAGCTTGTGCGTGATAACTAAGGGATCAATTCCTTGCATATCTTCTTGCTTCCAAGCAAATACTTCCATATGCCTTCTAAGGAACTGAACTAGAAGGTTTCTGAGTTCTCCAGGTAGCTTCCACCCCATATATATCGTATGCTCTGGCTCCTCATCAAGCTGGATGGGCTACAACTCTTCCGAGGGCGTAGGTATTGAATCCAGCTCATCTCTCATGTCCAACTCACCCATCTAGATGTTTTCAACATCTTTTCTTTTCATTGATGCCATGTAGCATTCCCTTCTCACTCGTTGATCTCCCCAGACCATTCCAATGTCGTTTTCAGTGAAAAATTTTATAATTAGGTGATAAGCAAAAAGGATAGCTCTCATGACATTAAGGGAAGGTCTCCCCAACAAAACATTGTATACTAAGGAGGCATTGACTACCAAGAACCTTACCGTAGTGGTGGATTGGCAAGGAGGGCTTTCCAAGGTGAGGATGAGCTGAATTGACCCAAGAAGTAGTACTCTCTCCCCTAAGAATCCTAGAAGATGAGTTCTCATTGGTTCGAGCTTGTCCCTGCCTATGTCCATTTTGTCGAAGGCGAATGCAAAGATAATGTCGACAGAGCTCCCGTTGTCGATTAAGATCCGATGAACGGTCCTTTTAGTAATGATTGCTTTTACCACCAAAGGATCATCATAGGGATACTAGTACCCCTCCAAGTTTGAATCCAAGAAAGTCATGCCCATGTTCATCCGGGATGCCTTATTCACAGTCTGCACCTCCAACATTTCTTTGGTCCTCACCTTGCGTATGTGGGCTTTTCTGACTAAGCTAGTTTCGCCTCCACCAACAAATCCCCCAAAAATATCCTGATCTCCTCCATTGGCTGCTGGAGTTATGCAAGAGTTTGCTACTGAGGTGCTAGAGGAAGGTGAGCCCTGTTCTGATTGTCATGCGCCACAAAACAGCCTAGCTGTCCTCATTGAATCAGAAACTTGATTTCCTTTTTCAAATGGATGCAATCATTAGTGAGGTGGTCCTGGTCCCTGTGGTACACTCACAATATTTTGTCGCATCTCTTTTTGTTGAGTCTGCCTTCATCCAAGATAGCCACCTTAGAAATTTGTCATTCTATACTTTATAGAAGATCTGGGATATCGTAGCTGGGAGTGGAGTGAGCTGCCGAGGTATCTACAATTCTGGTTGTAAAGGACCTAAGCGATACCTGATATCTCTCCTTCTTTTGGGAGAACAATCTCTGTCTCTTCTCAAAGACCTGTCTCGGCCTCTTTCTTTTCTGAGACTTCAGTCCCTCTTCTTCTCTTCCTTCCCTTTTTCCTTTTNGATATCTCTCCTTCTTTTGGGAGAACAATCTCTGTCTCTTCTCAGAGACCTGTCTCGGCCTCTTTCTTTCTGAGACTTCAGTCCCTCTTCTTCTCTTCCTTCTCTTTTTCCTTCTGTGTAGACGAGTTCCCTGCTTTAGAAATAAGAGCTTCTTCGCCATTAATGTATTCTTCCGCCTTGGCAAGCACCTCCGCCATATTAGCTTGTAGGTTTTTAGATATGGAGAACATCAAGTCCTTCGACTATATTCCTAACCCAGCAATGAAAGCAGTGATGGCAAATTTCTCGTCTAGAACGTCCACCTTCAGTGATTCTGAGTTAAATTTTTAGACATAAGACCATAGGTTCTCGTTGGGTCCTTGTTTCACATTCAACAAATGGTAGCTCAGTTTTTGGTAGGTCCGAGCTCTTATAAAGTGTGACACAAAGGATATAGTGAGCTCTCTGAAGGAGGAGATGGACGTCGGAGCTAGCCAGTTGAATCATGCTAAGGCTGAGCGCTTTAACGTGCTNGGATATAGTGAGCTCTCTGAAGGAGGAGATGGACGTCGGAGCTAGCCTGTTGAATCATGCTGAGGCTGAGCCCTTTAACGTGATGGCAAAGGCTCGACATCGTACAGGATCTTGATATCCGTGTAACTCCATTTGGTTCTTGTAGGTATTGAGATGATCTATGGGGTCTTTCGTCCCATCAAAGGCCTCCATCTGGGGCATTCTAAACTTCGGAGGGAGGGGAAATGCAGTACATCAACTGTGAAAAGGGACTCAGTCTACTGTACTAGGGCGTCCATAGTTACCAGGGTCTTACCCCTCACAGCCTCTTTCATGTGGCTGAGCTCTTGCCGAATATCTTTAAAACGTTGTTCCTAATATTTTTCTCTTTTTTCTTGCTGGAAAGAGAGAAATTCGTTTTTCTCAATTCTCCCATTCTGACTTTATACTTCTTCGTTGTCTTCATTCCTGGGGGATAGATGTTTAACATGGCCCATGTCTTGGCTATGCTCGCCCCCTTTGTTAACCTCCTTTAGGGGATCGAGACTTTGATGCTCCCCTATTGGGGATCATCCTGGGTTGGTCGTGTCTTTTGAGGACGTTTTAAGAGCTTCATAAGTTCTTCGTTATGTTGTAGTAAACACTGGTTAAATAGGCAAAGAATCTCCAGTTCGTTATTCGGAGGGGGGTCCACCATGAGAGGATTAATCTCAATGGTGGGCAGAAAGTCTTAAAGATTTTCTTGTTATCTTCCACTGGTGGCTTCCTGTTGGTTCAGCATTCGTTGAGGATTCAACTAGCTTCTGCTCATATTACGCGTAAAAACCATCAATTACTAAAGAAAAACAGTATTTTTGTAACAGGACCGGTCATTTCCACAGACTGCGCCAAACTAATGGTGTGGTTAAAAGTGGTTGAGCAAACTGCGTATACTACTGGGTTTGTTCTGAACTACAAGGCTCTTGGAAATGATGCGGTAATCTTTTGGAAAAGGGGTGAATTGCACAAAGGAGTTATAGTGGTTCATCAGCTCAGGAGCTCCACTACTTCACTCTTTAATGGAGTCTCTTACTCTTAGGAATTATATTTGAAGATTAAGAAAGGATTACACAATCTTCATGACAGTATTCTTGTTGCCTGCCTCATAGTGAGGACTTTGTACAGTATTTATAACTTAGTTCCTAGTTCTATGGGGTATGGGGCGAGATCTTCGCCTCCCTCTTGTAACGCTCTACTTGATTTCTGGCGATAGTTCAGGCGGTTGAGGTTCTTACGCTTAGATTGGTGTTTACAGTCGTTGAGGGGGCGTCTAATGGCTGCCAGCTATTTTCTACTCTTGTTCGGTGAAGAGCAGGTCAAGGGAGCTCGCCCGCTTCAAGGGCAGAAACCTCCGATGATTAAATTCAATTTGAGAAAAATCTGATCTCCAAAACCTTCTCAAAGAAGTTAATCACAACATCCATCATGCTATATACTACACTGATAGAAGGGCCTAAAAACTACTTTGATAACTAATTCAACCCATGACACCATAATCTAATTAATTACCTGAAAAACTACTCATTAATCTCACACCAGTAACCCACTTACTAATTAACCTCCTATTAACTAACTAATATTATCGACATAAATACATAAAAATTACGCAGGTAACAGAAACTCACCCGCATAATTACGAATATCATCAATCCGCCTCAGTTCCTTGGCAAGACTAGGCATATCCTCACCCAACAATTTCTTGACTTTCTCCAACTCGACCCCATCTGCATGAAAAAACTCCAAATAACAAAAGATTATAATCACCATAGAATCAGAAGCCAAAGAACTGGAAGAAGAAACACTAATTATTCAGTAAGTACTGAACATTTTACATTGTAATGTGGTGCAGAGGGTAAGCTTCTTGAGTTTGTGAAAAGCTGTTTTGGCTCGAATCGACCGAGAAATCCACGAGACTATGAGCTTGCCGAGGTTTTTCTGGAGATTTGCGGTATGGGTTTCCAATCCTACGCAGTTTTCACCCAAATATGTTGCCGTGTATGAAAACGAAGATGACAGATCGTTGTGGGTGCGAAAATGGACATCCAAAAAGTCAACAAGGTGTGAAGAGAGCTCACTACGATTTGGCAACACAATCCTTCGACTACTACTACGATCACCAGATAAAGCTTCCTCCATCTTTTCAGAGTTCTTTACTATCCCTCTAGAATTTGAAATTTGTATCAAAAACCGGCAATAACATAAAGGGCATTTTGGTGGATCGATAGTTTGACTCTTCTTTCATACGGTAGACTCAAATTAATAAATCGGATATATGTAGATAATTTTTTTAATGCAAACCTTCTAAAACTTGAGATAAACCCACCTCACCCGATTCACAATACAAATTTGTAACTAAAATTCTGGGGTGAATGACATTTTGCATCCTAACATACTATCAAATTCCAAATTTATACCTTAAATAAATTTCTAAATTTCACTTTGCTTAAATAAAAAGAAAGCATGTAATCCAAAAGTAATTGTTTGTGTGACACCCCGAATTCCTAGTGTCACTTAATCACTAATTAAACTATGGATTACTGTTGATACTGTTGCTATGCTTCAATACCATGTTGTGACACCTCATTTATTGGGAGTCATTTCTCAATGAAATTCGTAAAGAGTGTCATTTGTGCAGAGAGCTCCACCCAACACATAACATATGCATATAATACTACTATGATCTTTCTAAGATCCAACATCAATTTCGAAGCATTGTATACCTTGAATATCTACTCATTATCATCATCGTATAACATACATTCATTCCCAAAAGAATATATATATTCATAAAGTCTCAATTACATGCCTTTAAAATGAAATAATATACAAGATTTGTTTTATAAAATATACAAGACAAAAGTAAGGGAAACGAAACTAAACAACTCAAAATGAAAGTCACATTCCAACTTCGTCCTCAAAGTGGGCCCAAGTGAAAACCATCAGCCGAAGCACGTCTTGTACCTGAAAAGTATATACCCATAAAGAGAGAGTTAACGCTCAATAGAGTATCTCCTATAAATGTCACCTCTCAACTTATATGCATATGAAATGTCATAGAATCATAAACCTTTCCAAGCATTCAATTCACATATATAAATATGAGCAATGCTAATAATCCATACCATGTCATGAAGTATAAACTCATTGTGTGCAATGCCAACACCGAGCCCCATTCGGGGCTCCTATTACACATCTAATGTCATGCATATGAATCTAGACATTCCAAGCCCCCGTCATTTATGTTAAACGTTCAATGACCATTTAATTAATTTCATGTCTTTTTAAGGCGATGATTTATGGTCTTTCACCAACAGGACACCACACTATCAATGGATCTTCAGCACATCCCACATGCGGCTCCGTTTTTGCCGTCATGATTTTATAGGTTCATTACACCAATGGATAGCTCGCAATCAACATTGTTGAGACTTGCACCCAAGGAAGAATATAACTCTTCTTACTACACTCTAACACATTTATTTATGTAATTCTGGTGTGACTCAGTCAGACCTAAGTCTAACCTTTCCGAGCCCACCTATCAACTCATTTAGGTGGTGATTAATCCAAACTCATGTACATATAATCACACTCATGTCAATGCTCGAATGTAGTGCAACCCGCAAATGTATTTTTGTTTTCAAATTTTCAGGCATCGACAATGATAAAATCAATGTAATGTACAATTGCAATTCTATTTCATCATAATGTTAATTACATCATGAAAGTATATATAATAACATTTCATAAATATCACATAACATGCTATATATGATCATTATCCAAATAACATACTTGCATTTATCTAAGCATTTATCAAAACGCTTAATGGATATAAAATATAANATCATTATCCAAATAACATACTTGCATTTATCTAAGCATTTATCAAAACGCTTAATGGACATAAAATATGAACACATAGCATAGCCAAATAATTCATTTTATCAAACCATAAATCTTCTTATTGATAGGTTGTGCCTCCCTTACCGGTAGGTTCACATTTTCCCAACCAAACCCAATTCTTGAGAGACAAGGGTTTAACGAGTTCACATATTCAACCATAACCCACCATTTGCACTAGTAAAGAGCTAAAACATGTTATAAACACACCCACAGTCCTACCCATTTCATATACAAGCCCCAGATTGAAAGTAACACTAAATAGGAGGGAATCCTACATCTTGTAGTGTGAGCTACGTAGGAAGACTCCTTAGAACATGCCAAATGAAGCTCTAGAGCTCAACCACTCTTTTTTTAAATTTAGGAAAATAGGTCATAGTTGTTACTGACGTGTTGCCCTCATCGAGAAAAACACCTTCAGTTCTTGCACTATCTCGATCCACACAGATAGATCTTCATAGATCAAAGGAAGAAATGAAGAAGAAGAAGAAGTGGATGACATTTTCTCTTTCTTTCCTCTCTCTGTCGAAAATATCAAGAATTGTGTGTGGTGGAAGACTTTGTCTTCCACCTTTAAGCCCCTTTATATACTTGGCCCTTAAGGCGGCACGTGTCACTTTTTCATTGGTTCAATTTTGTCCTGACCAATCACATATTACCATGTGTCATGTTTGATATACCTTTATGAAATTTACTCTTAATTATATTATGGTTCTACGATTAAAATCTGATCGCAGAATTTTAATTGGGCGATACCCAATCGCATCAAAACACATGAAAATTCATTTGTGTCGAAATTCAATGAAAATTGACTGACTAACTTGATTTCGCAAGATAAATCCAACGGCGAGGTCTGTTTCATCACATCCAAGTTATATAAAAATTTGAGCTTTTAACTCATACTTAACGGTTTAATTATTGTTTTACCCTTTTAATTTTAATTTTAATTTTAATTTTTTTGGATTTTACATTCCTTCCCCTTAAGGAAATTTCATCCCCAAAATTATACAACACATGCAACATGTAATGTAAATGCACATGTATTATGCTATAAATTTTAAGTTCTACCCCTATCCTCAAACAAGGACGGATAGGTAGCCCGATTCATTTCCTTGCACTCCCATGTCGCCTCTTCGATACTCTAGTGCGATTACAACATCTTCACCAGTCTCATAGTCTTGTCATGCAAAATTTGATCTTAGTTATCTATAATACAAACTGGTCTCTCCTCAAAGGTGTCATTCACGTCAACAATAAGCTCCCCCCAAGCCACCACATGCATAGGATTTGGGGTATGCTTTCGAAGCATGGAGACATGGAACACACTGTGCACTATTAAAAGATGTGGGAGTAATGTTAATCAGTAAGCACCTGTCCCGACCATCTCAAGTACCTTGAAAGGGTCCATGTACCTTGACGATAGCTTACCTTGCCAAATTTGATCACTCCCCTCTTAGACATAAACTTCAAGAAGACATGATTACCCATCTCAAACTCTAGAGGTCTTTGGTGTCAGTGTAGCTCTTCTGTCGACTTTTGAGCCGTGAGAAGACGCTTCCATATAAATTTTACCTTCTCTGAGGTGTTCTTGATCAAGTTCGGACCCATGGAAGGTCCCTCTCCAACCTCTATCTAACACATCGAAGAATGGCATGACCTCTCGTATAGTGCCATCTGAATACTTTCCTAATAACTATTATTATAAGCAAACTCCACCAAGGGTAAGTGATCCTTCCAACTACCCTTGAGGTCAAGACACATGTTTGAAGCATGTTCTCCAAAATCTGGATAGTCCTCTTTGACTGACCGTCCATTTGGGGATGAAAAGTTGCACTTATCATCAACTGAGTCTCCATGGCTCATTGAAAACTCTCCCAAAATTGTGAAGTGTGGATCCTGATCAGATACGATAGATACAGGTAGCTCATGCAATTGGACAATCTCACGTATAAATGGTCTATATAATTCCTCCAGTGTGAAGGTCATCCATATGGCAAAAAAGTGAGCTGAATTGGTAAGTCAATCCACTATCACCTATGTCGTGTTATGTCCTAATGTAGTGCATGAAAAATGGGTAACAAAATCCATTATGACATACTCCCATTTTCACTCAATCACCTCTGAAGGCTGGAGTAATCCTACAGGCCTTTGGTGCTAGTCATGACTTATTGGCATGTCAAGCACTGGCTTACGAAGTCCCCAACATGCCTCTTCATCCCACTCTAGTAGTAATGGTAGCGAAGATCATGATACATCTTTGTGCCGTCAGGATAAACTACAAAACAAGAGCAATGAAACTCTCTGAGTATCTCCTCCCTCAAGTCAGCAGATTGAGAAACCACAACTCTACCCCAATACACAAGACTACCGTCAACATGGATGGCCCAACCCTTTTCACATGTACCAGCTCAAACCCTATCCATGATGAAAAATATTGTAAAACTCAGGTAAATTTAAACTTTTCATAAAAGAGGTAAAATAGTAATTTGTCGCTACGGTACAGGTTAAAAGCCTAAATTTTTTTNAACACATAGCATAGCCAAATAATTCATTTTATCAAACCATAAATCTTCTTATTGATAGGTTGTGCCTCCCTTACCGGTAGGTTCACATTTTCCCAACCAAACCCAATTCTTGAGAGACAAGGGTTTAACGAGTTCACATATTCAACCATAACCCACCATTTGCACTAGTAAAGAGCTAAAACATGTTATAAACACACCCACAGTCCTACCCATTTCATATACAAGCCCCAGATTGAAAGTAACACTAAATAGGAGGGAATCCTACATCTTGTAGTGTGAGCTACGTAGGAAGACTCCTTAGAACATGCCAAATGAAGCTCTAGAGCTCAACCACTCTTTTTTTAAATTTAGGAAAATAGGTCATAGTTGTTACTGACGTGTTGCCCTCATCGAGAAAAACACCTTCAGTTCTTGCACTATCTCGATCCACACAGATAGATCTTCATAGATCAAAGGAAGAAATGAAGAAGAAGAAGAAGTGGATGGCATTTTCTCTTTCTTTCCTCTCTCTGTCGAAAATATCAAGAATTGTGTGTGGTGGAAGACTTTGTCTTCCACCTTTAAGCCCCTTTATATACTTGGCCCTTAAGGCGGCACGTGTCACTTTTTCATTGGTTCAATTTTGTCCCGACCAATCACATATTACCATGTGTCATGTTTGATATACCTTTATGAAATTTACTCTTAATTATATTATGGTTCTACGATTAA